GTCGATTTCATCTGATAAATCTGTGTTTCTGCTGCTAAGATTATGTTTAGCCGTGGTTGGCCCTAGCGTACACGAGTCGAAGCGGCCTACCTGGTCCCATTATTATGAATAAGAGCATGAATCATAATCGCTGTTATAATGCACTAAGCTCAGAAAGAAAACTTTTTGCTGGAGAGAAAAGGTAACTGTATTGGGGATTTTTTCCAACAGCTGTAGCCACTTTTCTTTTTTCAAACTTTAAGATGTAAAGTTCTACAAAATTGTTAGGAGTACATGTATACGATACCCTAGATTTTAAAAAACTGTAAAGCAAAAAATGAAGAGTTTGTTAAATTCTAATAGCTGGTAGACGATATACAATCAAATAGTTCGTCGCTTATCGTATCGTACCTACCTCATTATAGTACCTTATGTTATCCTTTTTGTCTTGTTACAACTTAAAGTCCTTTCTCATCCATCTAAAGTATTTTCAGTTACTGTAGTGTCATGATTCATGGCTGAGAATATGAATAGAACAGGAAGGAAGAAGAAATGCTTGGTCCATACTAGGATTTAAACCCACAGCTATCGCTATTTAAACACGTTATTAACCAAGTGACAGCAGAGCTGTCGGCGAGACCATGTTAAGCTTCCACTACTCCTCGTGTTATCGTTAAAAAGGTAAATAAGAGGCTGTACTTTCTGAGGAAACTAAGGTCTTTCAATCTGAATCCATCCATCCTACCAATATTCTACACCACCACCATACAAACTTTGATCAATTTTGCTATCACTTGCTATGGTAGCAATTTGGGAAGGCAGCACATTATAAAAATAAACAAGTTGATAAGAAAGGCACCAAGAACAATTGGTAGAGACCTAAGTAACTTTGAATGTCTGCACAGGACAAAAGTTATTAAAAAAAGGCGGAAATGAGGTTTAGTGACCATAGCCACCCACTGACATCGGAATTTCAACTATCGACCAGCAGTAAACGATACATTCCCAAAAAAGCAAGAACAGAAAGATATAGAAATTCATTAGTACCAACTGCAGTGAGGTTACTGAACACACAGTGCTACAAATGAAACACACACACACACACACACACACACACACACACACACACACACACACACAGAGAGAGAGAGAGAGAGAGAGAGAGAGAGAGAGAGAGAGAGAGAATATTTTTACGGAGTGGGTTGCCCCAGCACGTGAGATATGTATTTACTTGGCCTAATGTCCTGTCTTGTTGTGCGTTTGCGTGAGTGCACCTTTAGGTCTAACTTTTGTAACGTCAACTGCCATTGTTAACGAGCAAGACAAATTTCTCCCTGCGAGATGAATAAAGATTGGCATTGTCATTGTCATTGTGTTAAGAGACAAGCAAGTCCACAGAACAACGTGTCGCTGGTACAAATCAATCAACGCCGTCATTTCTGTTTATTATTATTATTATTATTTTTATTATTATTATTATTATTATTATTATTATTATTATTATTATTATTATTATTATTATTATTATTATTATTATTATTATTATTATTATTATTATCAACATTATTATTATTATTATTACCATTACTATTATTATCAACAAAAAAGCGTCTGAACTTTTGGAAGCTCCTTTCGTGATACTCATAACGACAAATCGAAATCTCATATTTTGCAGATATGGTGTTTCAGCTTTTGAGCTGCAATATAATATACAACACCATTAGCCATCGTGTCATTTAGCAAGCAAGTCCAGCAAATAATCATGGAAAGGTCCAATTATTTTTCGTGTCAAGCATGTTCCCATAACGGGCAGTACGAAAATACGCAATAATGAGCAGATTACTGTAAGTTTACCCACAGTAATTGAAAAGCAAAAAGTGCAGACAACGGTGGTGTGAAGAATAAGGTTGACGTATGGCCTGCTTGATGTCATAGACGACTATAGTCTGCAAGGTGTGGCTCATGACATATGTCACCTGATCCTCCACGTTCGGAACTGACCTTAGGGGTACCCTTCCTATCTCGTAAAACAGCATTCTCACCACAGAGACACCAAACAAATCATCTCAAAATGTAGTTTTGTTGGGAAATACCGACACTTCTAAAGGAGCTCATTTGGAACAGGGACTTAAATGCTGATTTAAAGTAGAGGGGACAAAGCTTGGCAGATGTGATGTGGAGACTATAGCCCAGGACAGAACTTGATGGAGAGCTCTTGTTGGTGGCCTATGCTCCGGCATGTAGTGGGAAAAGCTGATGGTGATTTCGTTGTGTCTGTAATAAATAATAACTAGCGGCAACTTCATAAATAAGGCTGCCTCGAAAATTGCATAACTCTAACTCTATTGTGTGGGTTTAACGGCCCTTTAGAAATTGTTCTGTCATTTAGGGGGTGAGGTATCCAAATTCGACGTCCGTCTCCAAAACGACCGAGCCAACAGGGTGGAAAGCTTTGACAAACTCTCCAAGCAATCCAAGTTCAAGAACCTCGCAGTGGGGATATACCACAGCCCAACATTATACCAATTGAGTTGACAGGGTTTTTTGAGTGTATTTTTTTTTCAAAGGTGTCGACGGGGGAAAGCCAAAATGCAATTGCAATTCATCCCATAGGAAAAGCAATAAGAACTAGCAGACCTTGTAAGTATCAATGTATGCACTGGGACAGCTACTCTCGGTTTTTGGTTTCCAGCTCAGGGATTTCTTTTTGGTGACGTCTTTCAAGCTAATGCAGGGAAGCTGTTTTATCGTTACGATCAGAGTTAGGGTTAAATCTAGGAGCAGGAATTAACATCGGAGTAAAGTTTATATAAGGATCGTAAACAGAGTTAGAAGTAAAATTATTAAGTTAGATCAGGAGCGAGTCAGTATTTGCGATACAGTTTGAGCCAGGGTGATTTCATATGAAGAACGAGTTTAGTCGGCGTTTCTCTATACGCCTAGACTTTACAGTTCTTTTGACAGACAATTTATGAAGTCTTTCAATATGTCTGCTGGGGTCCTGGTAACTAGTCAGCTCAAGTGTACCCTCGTAAGAAGAGTTGAAGCAGCCAGGCCCCTCAATGATAAAAAAAATAAAGAATAAAGAAATTACATTTTTATTGATTCCCTTTGGGGGAATTTGGGTTTCAATGATAAACATACATACATAAATATAAAATTATAAATTCATTCATAAATACACGATATCACACCAATACAGAACAGTGTAGGGATGAGAGTGTAAGACGTGTGCTGTCGAAGAAACGCGACAGGGGCTTTGTGTGTGACTTATTTTCTCATATTATTAAAATATAATTATTATCATGGTCTTTTATATTGAATCTTGAAAGTGTATTTGTGTCAAGACTTAGATTTAAAATTGCTAAATCAGCTCAAAAAGAGACTATAATGAGTAAGAATACGTCATTTCATTCGAATTGTCATCTTCAGCTCTGAGAATCAAAGTACGCTGACTCTTCTCATTACTTATGGCAATCAGGGTAGTTGGTATAATGCAAGGGTACGGAACTAGTGACCTTGGTTCAAATCTCTTATTTGGGAGGTGGAGAGGGTAGAAGTTTTTATTGGAACTGTTTAAGGGGATTCGCAGATTCTCTGCCCCTTCCGCTCAGTCTTGAAAGAAAAGGGCAGTAACCAGGAGTGTTCCCTGCCTCATTGCTAACCTATAGTGTTGGAAAGGAAAGATTGACATGGCATGGATCTATACCGACTTCACTTTCGAACTAAAATACGAGTAAGGAGATTTTCAATCTGCAGCTATATACACATAGGTGTTTCTTTTTCTTTTTTTTTTGGTGTTGTTATTTTTTTCTTTTTCATGTTTTGTTTGTTAACAAAAAATATTGGGGGCGGGGTGTATAATTTAACTTTCATCTATAAGTTCTCTTCCCACGACTTATCATTATCATTGTGATAGCAAGTTGGATTAAAACCAGTTCTCGAATTTGAAATAACACCAGCCCCCCCCCCACACACACTTCACAGCCGTCTTGGTCCCTTCTCTCAAAAAGTAGATTACATGTATTTATAACATGTTTACAGCACTGCTTTTAAATAGTCCTACACTGGGAGTTTCATTGTGTACAGGTGGGTGCTTAGCGGGGGCTCCGGAGTGGAATTTTCTTTCTTCCCTATCAAGCATATTAGTTCTTAGTTCTTATCTCTCCTTCTTTTTTGCGGTTGTTACTCTGTTGTAACGCTTTTATTCTTCTGCATTTATACGATCTAATTGTGTTGCTAGTGCCGTAAAACGCTAACAAACACAAATAAAAACTGTGTATAAAGTTTCCATCTGTAATTTTCTGTATTGAAAAAGCTTTTTTCACTCTTTGATGCCATAGCGGACACATATTTTGTCCGACCAGCAGCAGACCAAAGACAATGCTGTGTCGACATTTTGAATTACGAGTATCATACACGGTGAGTGGCATCGGTGGCCTAGTTGTTAGACTACCGAATCGGTGATCATGGAATTAGAGTTCGGGGGTTCGAGCCTCAACCCGGTCAGATGTTATGTTCTTGGGAAAGGCACTTTAGACGAATTTCACATTTGGTCTTTTCGGAGATGAACTTTAAACTCAGAGGTCCCACTTCTTAAATAACCTAATAGTGTTGATAGGAGCGTTAAACCTATACCATTTCACAATTTTTTCCCAGTCATACACAAAGCAAAAACTCGAATTTGTACATTAATTTCATAGCATCTATTTTGTTGCCTGCCTTTTTTAATGTTTAGTCTGAGAAAACAGAATTGAAAAATCTGTATGGATAATGCGGTCATGCTTCATTCTGAAAAAGCCCAAAAGCAGCGCGTCTCCTGCCGTTGTCTAATTATACGAATAAATATTATAATTAAAAAGTCTTAACCGTAACCTCCCACTGCTTGCTCAAACAGAACCATCTGCCGCGGTCTCTCTATTTACACAGATTTCATGCTATTAACACTGCCAAATGCATCAACACTAGCCAGTAATTATCTTTGACACCCGGGTTACAATAAAAGCAGAGAGAATACTCTTCTGTCATCGTCAGAGCCACTGTGCTCCAACAGTCCTGTTGAAACTGTCAAAGATGTGGGCTAAAAACGCTGGTGTTCTCCTCCTCCTTCTTCTCTCAGGGGTCGCCATGGTAAGAAGCTCTTCACTTATTTACCCTGAACTTAATTATTTCACGATATGCAGGGTGATTCAAAAAGATTACGCCAAAATCATCACGCGATATCTTTTTAAAAATGTGATCACATTGAGCTCTTGTAAAATATGAAATAAAAACTTGAAAGTGAGTACAACATGTGTCGAAGCTTGAGTTTTCTGTTGTTTTCCGTTTTTTTTAATATTGCGTGATGATTTTGGCGTATACTTTTACGATCACCCTGTATGTTCATTGATTGAGCAACGTATCACAACTGACGCTTAGGAAAACACACAATAAAGGCAGAAATCCTCTATAAGAGATGTCCTCACTCGAGAATCGAACTTGGTTCTTCTGCGGGCGATGGGGAAGCGACTCACTGCTACACCCCAGCCTCACACTTTGTAGGCACTTGCATTTTCAACAAGCATGACAACGAAGATTTAAATATTAAAAGAAGTCTGTTTTAAAATAATATATGTATTTTACCCCCCCCCCCCCTCCCCTCCCGACACAATTTAGATCATTTAGGTTGTGGGCTTCCTACCCTGCCCATGAGCGCTAACCCGGGCTGAGAGGGATACAATTCCTCAGCAAGAAAATCGAGGTGCTCGACAAAAAGTTCTCCTCACTCAAGAATTGAGCTCAGGTGTGATGTTTGCGACAGTGGAGCGCCTTACCACTACCCCACAGGCGCCGGTTAGAAGCAGTCGAAGGGTGAAATTAGCGTTAAAGTTAAACAAGAAACAGTTGAGTCTGTCCTGATTGCCCCCAGTCCAATGCAATCCCCTTGACAAAACGACCACTCACCCCTCTCCCCCCATTTTTCGCATTTAAAAATCACAATGACACTCACTATCCAAGATGTACAACTGACTTGTCTAAGACAACCGCTTTTTCCCCTCGACAATAGGATGACTGTCATGGACAGTAAGTACTTCACATTGGGTATACGTGACAAAGAGACCCACCTGAAATTAATCATAATCAAGAACAAGGGGGTTTTAAAAATCGTTTCATTCATTAATTCATTCATTCATTCATCCTTTCATTCATTCTTTCATTCTGACATGCGTTCACCAATCCAATCATTCTTGTATGCGATATGCACTCACTCATTCATTCCTGTATTTTCTTATTTATTTATGTATGGTTAATATTTATGTTTACTTGATTCGCGTTGAACTCATCACTGCTTACTGCACCACATGTTCATTCGTTCATTCATTCAATCATTCATTCATTTATTCTATGACATGCAAATTTGTTTGTTTGTTTGTTTGTTTGAAGGGGGGGGGGGTCTTCTTGTGTATTCATGTTGACGTAGTTCACGTTGAATTCGACATTTCTTATTGCAGGGCAATGCACCATATGTTAATTCATTCATTTATTCATTCACTTCTTCATTTTATATTCAAGTAACCCATCTATGTTGACTTAATTCACTCTGAATTCGACATTCTTTGTTGCAGGGCTATGCTCCGCATGGGGGGTCAGACCACTCGTCCCACGGGCACGGTGGGTTTGGGGGTAGTTCTCACGGCTTCGGTGGTGGTAGCCATGGAGGGCATGGGATGGGCGTGGTCAGCAAACGCTCTGACGTCACTCCAAACGTACCCAAACCCGTACAAGAGCTCTACACTAAGGTCAAGGCTGTTATACAAGGGATCCGGAAGGGCACACAAAACGGTACTCTCAAGGGTATCATGGAGGAAATTGTTGCTGAGGCAGAGAAAGTTTTGAAACTGGGAAATGCCAATGTCTTAAAGCAGGTGAGAAAAGATTACTATTAGAACCAAAACCACAACAACAAACAAACAAACAAATAAATAAAAACAGCTACCCAAAAACGTGAGAAACCATCCCCTGCTTTCATTCTGTAGATATATCCCTTTAAAGCTGTTCATGAGCGGTAACACGTAGCCATTTGTTAGTTGTGTATGGTTTTCTTTATGAAGGTGTTTCTACGCCACTATCGAAATTATTTAGATTATTTAGGGGGCGGACCTCAACCCTGCCTGTAAGGACCAACCGGGGCTGAGAAGAAAATAGCATCCCATAAGAAAGAACAAGACACTCGACAAAAATTCTCCCCACATGAGAAATGGAACTTCAACTGCGTGTGACGTTGACGGGCCTAACTGCCACACCACAGACGTCGCTGATTGTCAGTGTTGCCTGCTTCGACTAGAAGTAGCAGTTAATTTGACCTATGTGAAATGCTTTATTCTGGCAGAAGGACGAAAATACGGCAGAACCTTTGTAAGAGGGCCACTGATTGTGGAGGTGAAAAAAGGCCCCGTCTTGCACAATACTATTTAACTTTTGAGCTCGTAGCACCTGTACACCGGTGGCTCTCTCTTCGGCAACAATAATCCGTAGCACCGGTTCACTGATGTGAGGAAAGAGCGCTGAGTTATCGGGCGGAAAAAGTCTGTAATTTTCGGTCAGTCTGAATGCTAGTTTCTGTCAACATGCTATTATGAGGATAGCAACATGTCTGGGCACTTTCAGGCATACTTTTTTTTTATCACGTTCTGAGCAGATTTACCGGGGATATTCCTCACAGCGAAACGTTGTCCACGAACCCGGAAGATCAGGAGGTCAGGATTAAAGTAAATTTGGGATCAGTAGACTAGGACTTAAAGGGTTAAAATACACAAAATACGCAAAGGAGGATCTGGTCAGTAGTAGTTTGTAAAGGAGATGTTCTTATGCAGGTGGCCGTTGGAGCAGGTTCGACTGTAGTCTAAAATATCGGCGCCCGAGGGGACCGATTTCACGTCTCTTGCACGCAAGTTTAAAGATTTAATGTAAAAGTGAACTTCAACCCTCCTCTAAGAGCTTACTTGACCTATTATTCACGCTTAGTCTTACCATTCTCTGCAGGGCCACATGAGGGTAGCGGTGACGTTAATAGCGAAAGATTTTTTAAAACCTATTTATACATGGGGGGGGGGGGGGGAGGGTCCGAAATATTTTTACATAGACACAACTCACACACCAACACACACTCCCGTGTATAAAAACTACTTGCAGAGGATAGTGTTGAACAGTTATTGGCTTCAGGATTTTCTTTAGCAGTCTCTCTGATTATATGAAACGCATTTTTATTCATCCCCTTTTTGGGGAGGGGGGAAGGGGGGGGGGCTTTTTTAGAAACACGGTAAGAAACAGCTCTCCAGCCGAACTTACTAGACCTTATAGTATGGGCACTGGCGTGAGATTTTAATCCACAGATTTCAAATGTCTTATGGTGTGTTTGACTCAATGAGGTATTAAAGACACATGCATTGTGATGTTTTGTACCCTCGACCCTGCATGTCAGTCAGATCCTAGAAGGACTGCTTGAGAACGATGAACAAGTCATTTGGGAGATATAATCATTGAAGAATAGAGAGGAACCTTTAATTTATCAAAAAAACAAAATCTCCCAATTTTCGTATGGAGACCGCTCCTCGGCAAATCTGTGAAAAAATGTAGCATGCTTTCGGGGAGATAAAACTACTGGAATAAAGCCAAGGAGGCGGGGTTAGACCCAGAGTAACTTACGTGTAGAGCATAAACAAATGGATGACCGGGAAATCAGGATAATGGAGTGTTTTTAGAGCGTCCGAGCAAAGGAGAGTTTGGAGAGCCATGATCGCTAATGTTTGTCGCAGATCTCGCATTTTATGATGATGTTTGTCATTCTTAACAGGACGTGGAATCTCTCATCTCTTCAGTGGCCGTCAAGTTCCTGCATCTGTTGACAGGTGTCACAGACAATATGCTACCTCCATTTGAGTTTGCTCTCAGCGTCTTGGACCAGCTCACAGATCTCCTGTACCAAGGTTTGATTTTCTTGGTGACTTCCCGGGGGTCCACCTGGGTTTTTTTTTATAGTTTGTTTGAGGTTACTTTTGACGACGAGAGGAGGGAATGTTTTGTTGTTGTTTTGTTTACAATATGTGTCACGGAATGCAAACAACAGTCCGTTTTCTAACGTAATGGTGGTTTTAAATGTGAGGCAAAGTGGGGTTTTGTATGTATCTATATCATGTGTGTGTGTGTGTGTGCGCGCGCTGTGTGTGTGTGTGTGTGTGTGTGTGTGTGTGTGTGTGTATGTGTGCGTGTGTGTTTGTGTGTGTGTGTTGACGCTGTTTATCTGTCCTTGACCATCGTTGCAGCTATTTTGTTGTTTTTGGTCCACCCTTGCACACCCCAGATACCAAAGACGTGTACATCGCTGTAGCGGCTATCGGGGAAACGGCAGACTACGTAGAGAGGCTCTATGACCTCATGAGACAGATATTCCACAACGTCTTCGCTCCTGGTCCAGTAACTACGAAAAGGTAGGAGGAGAAAACATTAAAAAAAAAAGAATTAAAGGAAAAGAGAAACTAAAAAACAAACAAACAAGTAAACAAATAAGCAAACAAAAAAAAACAACAACCGATGAGGCGGCCAAGAGAGTTATTGTGTTGTAGTGCGAGTCTTAAGAGATTAATTATGTGTGTCATTGTTCTTAGATCAACCGCTCGGAAAAAAGGCATTGAATAAACAAGCCTTTGTCCGCCGTTTGTATATTATATCATCTTTTTATTTTTGGCACAACACCGTTATGTCCATTTGAAAACATATTTCTTTGCAGATTTTACTGAGAAAATCAAAACCGTTAATCAAAAGCATGAAAAATGTACATTTGTAGTTTCTAAGGACTCTACAGTTTTGGAAGTCATCAAACTTGGCGGCCATTTTTCGCTAATTTTACTTTTGACACCAGATGAACTCAACCTCCTTCAATTGCAAAGATCGCGGTTTCTTTTCAAAATAGATGGGTATTTTTTTCATCAAAAGCAAGACAAATGAACAAGCCTTAAGATGATGCTTATAACTCCATATGTCCAAACACCGACGAGCGCTTGATTCCTGTGCTAACAGACATATTTATTATACAACAATGCAAAAGTGCAGTCGTAAAGAATGCCCCCCACTGTCGAGAAAAAAGGTGGTATTCTTAGACAGATTCGCATCTTGGACAGTGCCCTTATAATATAAAACTACCGCAAGGTGAGGGGGGAGGAGGGAGTAGGAAGTGGTCACTTGTACGGGAGATTGTCTAGGACAGGTGACTGTAGAGCTGGTTCACCTGTACTTTACCGTTATCTTTTAAAAAAAAACCGCCTTATGGATAGTGATCATTTATCAGTCTTATAAGGATACTGGACCTGTGGAGTGATGGTGAGATTCCTTTCCCTGTATTAAAAAACAACAATATTAGTTTGTCTAGTCCATCAGTACAGCTAGAAGACTTTTTCTACTGATAAAACAGGGTCAATAATGCCATTATAGCTTTTCTTAATGTCACTAGTAGCAGACAATGAACCTACGGAATGGGGCATGCAGTCATGTTAATGAGACCGTCATTTTATTTCAAAACATTGAAAGAGTATACCAGTAGCATTAATACTGCTAAGATAAAGGTTATCTGTGGGTTTTTTTTAAAATATAGTCAAAATGAGAGTGTAATAACCTATTGCAGTAGGCAAAATGTGACTGATGTCTTCCTCAAACAAACAAGGCATTTAGAGCCGTTTTAAGACCTTTTCCAAAACAAAGGCAGTCTTCTCTCAAACAGTATTTCTTCTTTGGAATATCCAACCTACCTCACAACATTGTCTTTTGATCAAATATATTTTCCGTGCGCGCTAGGGTAACATTGATGGCGTGGCTACCTGACGCCGAGCATCTGTCTGGAATTGAGGATGTTTTTAGTAGAAAGGACATTGGAAGCAAAGTTATCCCATTCTCAAACTCATGTTTTTCAGTTCGGCACAAAACATGACTGATGTAAAATCAAACTGAAAGGATAAAATTACTCCCCCCCCCCCCCCTCCCCCCTTTTTTCTGTTAGTAGTCGGGAATCAAACTGACATCTTTTTTACCACACTCCCAATGCCTTACCATGCGAACTAAACGCCCCTGGGGTACAAAAGGTTATTTGCGTTCTTGGACAGTTCTGTTTGTTTGTTTGTTTTACGAGTTTATTAAAATCTCCGTCTTGTTCATCATGGCACACCTCATTACTCTTGTTTTAATCTCCTCATCAGACAGACAGCGGTCGGAGGTCACGTGAACACCGGGCCGGGGGGAACCACAGGGGGAGTTCACGCCACCCACACCTGGGACCACGGCGGCGGCAGCAAGACCACGGTGGGCGGTCACGTGGACCACGATTTCACGCACGGGGGAACGAGCGGGGGTGTCAGTGTGAGTCACACCTGGCGACGTGAGATGGAGGACAGGAGAAGAAGGTCAGTGGCTGTGGGGCGCCGGGGGGGGGGGCTGGTGGAAGAGAGAGGGAAGGGGGGAGGGGGGGTTAATGATTGTGGACACGGGAGAAAGAGGGGGAGAGTGGTGGGGTAGGTGAAATTGTAATAAAGATGAAAGAGGGGGGAGAGGGGGTCAGTGAGCGGCTGGGTGTGTGTGGGAGGGGGGAGGTGGAGGAGAGGAGAGTATATAAGAGATAGTGTATCCAGTCACAAACGGACCAAGGCAAGTCTGCAGAAGGCCCCATGAATGCTCTGAACCACCAAATAAAAAAAAAAAAAATATCCCCACGAGGTCGAACCAGAGTGAACAGCATTGCAATTTCGGCATTATGCCACTGAGAAAACACGCCGAGCTTCATAACAAATGTAATGCATTTCTTTGAATATATTTATAACACCTCCGAATATTCTCACAAGTTTGATAGAGCAGATAGAACATTTTTTATTCTGACCTCAGGATCTCAGTAACTCAAAACGCACAAAAATGTCAAACTTTTTAATTCTAAGGTAGCCACTAGGACAATCTGTAAAATTTCCCCGATCTGATTCATTACGCATGTGACCTGACTTAAAGAAGGGAGAAGAATGAGGGCAGTGGAACTCTGACATCGTCTGTTTGTTATATGTTGTACAGCACACACAGCCGCGAATCTCTTTAGCCACCGCCTTTTTCTGAAGCTGAAAAATACAATACATGTATGCTAGATAGGCAAAGTTTAAACTTCTAGATGATTTTTCCGATTTGTTTTTGTTTTTTAGACTGTTTGATTTTGTTCTCTATGTTCTCGTCTTTCTCATGTCCCATTTTGTCTTTGGCGCGTCGGTGGCCTCGTGTTTAGACTCTCAGACTCGCAACCGTAAGGTCATGGGTTCGAATCCCATCAGGAGCCCGACTTTGTGTCCTTAGGAAAGGGACTTTACACGAATTTTCCTCACTTCTCCCTAGGTGGTAATTGAAAGATTTTGTTAGCTTGTTAGTATCTGAGAGCGTAAAATCTGCAGCTTGCATTGTATGCTTCCCCGCAAGTCCAGAATGTTTCTGGGCTTTGTAGAGTCTGATGGGGGTTATAATAATTGTAACAAGCGTTTAGAGCATGCTGTACAGCGTGGATGTGCGCTATAGAATTGCAGTTCCATGTTTTATCATACTGATAGTGCCTAACTCCTTGAGGACGTAGCGGACAGATGTTATATCCGATCAGCGACAGACCAAAGGCAATGTTTCGAACCATCACACACAAACCAGAAACACAAATTTGCATATTTCTTGGTATGCTGACTTTTTAAGTTTAAGGTAAAGTAAACAGACGTGAAAAATCCATTATATAAACAACGAAGTTATGATCGATTTTTAAAAGTGCCCGAAAACAAGGCGTCCTCCAACGTTGTCGAAGGATCCGGATATGCGTCTTCAAGAAGTTAAACTCTTTGGACGCTGCACAGAGAGGACAGAGGAAAAGGCATTTTTGTAAAGTAAACCATTCTCTGTTGTGTTATTGTTTATATTTGCAACGTTGATGTACCATCTGGGCGAGCTTATCTAAGCATTGATCTAGCAACTGCAGCTCAAATTCCACCTCAGGAATCAATAGTTTAGCATTGCGTGTATCTAGTTTATTATGTTTGTTTTATGCAAATCAATCGAGTGGAATTTTATTCATCCCTCTGCTTCATCTGTACGTCTATGAAAATCAAAGATGAAGTAGTGAATCTACATACCTCTTTCATTCATTAATATTTTTTATTTCCATGACACAGATAGTTACCTGTGTCTGTGGTTTAGCAGTTAGGCGTCTGGCCGTAGGACACAGGGGTCCCGAGGTCTAGAATTTTAGCGAGTTTCTACGTCTTTCTGCTGGAACATTGTTTCCATTTCAGCCCGAGTTGGCCCTCGCAAGCATGGACAAAGCCTGCCTCCTAATTATCTAAACTCTGTCGATGAGGGCGTTTTATAACACTTACATTCGAAAATAAATAATTTTAACAGACAGGCCAAGGGAAGCTACACATGGCAAAATGTCAACGGCGACTCCTCTACTGTGGGGGGCCACGTCAACAATGACTTCAGCAACTATGGTGTCTATGGCTCGCATACATTTGGGCATAAGAACGGCGACTCCACCACTCTGACCGGGAACTTAGACGCCGACGTGAAGCATTTCAACAAGATCTCGCCTGGTGTAACCTATGTCACGCCGGGTGTGAGCGTGTCGCATACTTGGAACCATGGGGATGGGAGTCAGACGAGTCTTGGGGGATACGTGAACAAGAATCCCCAAACAGGGCCCGCCGGGGGGTTTACATTCACCCATCGTTGGGGGCGGGCCTTGATGAGGGAGTTGCGAAGAAAAAGGTTGGCAAGTATGCGAGGTGATTATGTTGTAGTCCGAGAACAGTGATTGGCTTTGTGGCCAAATGGGTTACGCCCAATAAATATTTGAGCTTCTACACGCGATACGCAGTACACGCACCTTTGTTGCTTTGCAACATGTTGTCTAAGTACATGTTGTAAAGATCGATCGCTGTGACCCAAGGTTTTCTACTGATACAGTAATATAACATTGTCTTTAGAAGTATAGACACAATGAAGCAACAATGTAATATGCATTGTTCTCAGTTTCACAATCTTTGGTTATACATCGTTTCCTGACTTTGTTTTCCTAATGATAGCAAGAAAATTTTGGTATAAAGCGAGTTTCAACGCGAAAAGAAAAGACATTCCCGATTTCAAAGTCTATTTCTGATAGCCAAGCGGGGAGAAAGCCTTAAGAACTTGAAAACCCCAAATTAAATTCCTGTTGAGCACTTAAAGTTAAAACACGGTCAACAAAACATTAGCCCTCTATGTTACCAACTGGACTAACGACACAACAAACATAGGATTATGTGAGGGGATAAATAAGAGAAAATGAGGAGGAGAAGAAGACAGGAGGAGAAGAGGGAGGAGGAGAATGAAAAAGAGGAAAAAGAAGATGATGGGGGAGGGGAGGGGATGAAGGAGAGTACGAAAAGGAGGAGTAACAGGGGGAGGTGGAGGGGAAGGGAGAGGAGAGGTATGGTGCAAGCGGAGCAGAGAAAAGGTTGTGTCAGGCTTTGGAAAGAAGAGCAAAGGATTACGCGCAAAGATACTACAGCGAGAATGGAATACAAGATGATAGTGTGAGAAGCTTGTAGATAGATAGATATATAGATAGAAAGATAGATAGATAGATAGATAGATAGATAGATAGATAGATAGATAGATAGATAGATAGGCTGCCACTTCACATAAATACGCTCTATAGTATACATAATATACACGACAATAATCTAATGCTTATGATAAACGTAATCAAAATCACACGTTTAAATCAAATTATTATGAGAAAAAAAAGAAATTTTAAAAAATAATGGGAGGGGGGTGAGAAGGGAAAAATTATGGATCTACAAAGAAGCACTGTCAAATTCCACATCCTCTCCCCCAGGGAGACAACAGTGGGCGGCCATGTTGAAACTGGACCAGGGGGCACCTCTGGTGGCGTCCACGGCTCTCACACTTCCGGCGGAACTACTGTGAGCGGCCATATTGATCACGGGCCAAGCGGCACGTCTGGAGGGGTCAGTGGGTCACACACTTGGCGAAGGAGTCCCCAGAGCAGAAGAGAGGTTGATTTGTAAACATCTATTATTATTATTGACCCTATTATTTATCCGACTATTCTTTTACTTATATTTGCATCAGTCGGTCTGTCTTTATCCATGCATCTGTCTAATTATTGATCTATCTCCCTATTTGGAAGAACACACGTGAGTACAATAAATAAGTAATACGTCTACACAACAGCGAAGGGGTTAAGTGGGGGTTCTCGTGGTTTAGAAGTTACAGTGTTCGCCTCTCATTCAATAGGTCCTGGGTTCGAATTCAGACAGAGCAAAATAGATTTTCTTTTTGTAAAAGTCCTAAAGGCAAATCAAAAGTTTTTACAAATTCAAGCTTTAAAAAATTATGAGATAATTTCAAAGTATTAGTTGGGGGAACATTCTAAAGGAATCCTTTTTCGATCAGCTATGCAGGTTGCCTATTTGGAAAAAGGAAGCTCATTTTTCGTGTCCTTAAACAGCGGTGGTGGGTTCGGTTTGACAATACATGCAAGTCTGCTCGGCTATTCACCTTGGTTTAATACCAGTCTGCCGTAGCGAGAACCGACAGATTAATAATAATGATAATATGCTGCTGGGTCTAATAAGACCGCGTCTACAGCTATAAACAGCCCCTGTGCGAATTAATGACAGCCTTGACAGGATCTCTCTTTAACATTGAAGGGTCAAGCGAAACTTTGCCCAGGAGAAAATATAATTAAATAGTCGTATACAGGGTTTGCTTCCTACAAAACTAATCTTTTGTTCGCTGCGCTGAAAACCCTGTGAAACATAAAGCCTATGTGAGCTTTCTCTTCGAGACACATACAATGTAGTTATTCGTTCCATTGAACTGGGAAGGGCGAATAAAAGGGGGGGG